ATCAGGGCTCTTTGCAGGAGCAGTGCAGGTGCTATAACTAAGGTAGGTAGGTGACAAATTTAAATATCCACAGTAATGATCGAGGCCGGGATGTAAAATTAACAAGAGATTTGCAAGTTACATATGAGAGCACTTTGAAACATCCCTAAAATAACCACATTAGCCTGGAACGAATGGAGAGGCATCCTTTACCCTCGCTTCGGGCAACTGAGCATCGTAAGGGTACCAATTTTCCGGTGTCGATGTAAGAATTTAACACGATGCCACTAAAACAATATGTCAAGTCTTTTTTTTCTGAAGACGGTCAGACTGACTGTAAAGCTTGCACGTGGAAATAAACAACGAACAACAAAAACCAGCTGTGAAAACCTGCAAAGAAAGCGGTGAGAAGTATCGCCAGTCCCGTCACATTTAAACCCTCGATTCTTGTCATCCGGTTGGAGTGCTGCAGGACATGAGCACACAGACGGGTCTCTCCCGTGCTTTTGACGAATATTCGTTTCTGACCTTCAGAAGAGTGATTCTCTTTTTGCTGTGTCAAAATTACTATTAATTCTACTATTGCCTTCTTGGTTTATTTTTCAATTCCAACTTTTCCATTTCGTTTTCTCCTATAGTGTCAAAGTGCTGAAATTCTGCACCTTATCTTTTTTTGTTGTTGTTGTAGTTTCAAGTTTTTATTTAAACTCTAGTTAGTTAACATATAGTGTAATATTGGGGCACCTAGGTGGCTCAGTCGGTTAAGACATATGAGGGCTGCAAATTGTAAGGAACTCTCATTTTACTTACATTTCTTTTGCCTTTGTTGTCCTCATCAAAGAATACAGTAATCAAACTGAGAAATTCAATAGAGGAGTTTCATAGCAGACTAGATAGAGCAGAAGTAAGAATCAGCAAATTCGAGAGCAGGGCGACAGAATTTCCAATCAGAAGAAGAAAAAGAAAAAGAACGAAAAAGAGTGAAGACAGATTAAGGATCTATGGGACACCATCAACTAGGCCAATGGATGAATCAGAGGGTTCCAGGAAGAAGAGAGAAGAAAAGGGACAGAATGCTTATTCAAACAATGGTGGCTGAAAACTTCCCTCACCTGAAGAAAGAAACACCTACACAGAGTTCCAAAGGCGACGCATCTAGAGTCCCACACTGAGACACTTTCTGATTAAATTGCCAGAAATTAAATGCAAGGACAGAATCTTAAAAGTAGCAAGAGAAAAGCAAACTGTTAGGTAGAAGGAAAACCCCTGATTATCAGTGAATTTTCTACGGGAAATGTTGTAGGCCAGAAGGGCATTTTCAGAGTGATATATTCAAGGTGCTGACAGGAAAGACAAATCTGCTAACCTAGAATATAGTATCTGGCAAAGTTGTCCTTCAGAACTGAAGGAGAGAGAAAGACCTTTCCAGAAAGACAAAAGCTGAAGGAATTAATCACCATTTAAACAGCCTAATAGGAAATATTAAAGGGAGTTCTTCATGGGGCGCCTGGGTGGCTCAGTCGGTTGAGCGGCTGACTTCGGCTGGGGTCATGATCTCGCGGTCCGTGAGTTCGAGCCCCGCGTCGGGCTCTGTGCTGACAGCTCAGAGCCTGGAGCCTGTTTCAGATTCTGTGTCTCCCTCTCTCTGACCCTCCCCTGTTCATGCTCTGTCTCTCCCTGTCTCAAAAATAAATAAAAGGTTAAAAAAAAAAAATTTTAAGGGAGTTCTTCAACGTGAAATGAAAGGGCACTAATTAATAACAGGAAAACATATGAAAGAATACAACTCACTGGTAAAGGTAAATATATAAATTCAGAATATTCTAATATTGTAATAGTGGTGGGGAAAGTCACAGAACTCTAGTATAAGCATTAAAGGACAAAAGTATTAATAACTATAAATACAATAATTTTTCATGGATATACGATGTAAAAAGATGTAAATTGTGACATCAAAAACAAAATGGGGGGGGGGTTGTAAAAAAGCTTCTATATGCATTCAGAGTTAATTTGTTATCAGCTTGCAATGGGTGGTTGTGACACTAAGAAGTTGTGTGTAAGCCTTGAGGTAAACCACAAGCAGAACCTATAGTAAATGCACAAAGACAAAGAGAAAGGACCCAAACATACTACCCATGAAGAAAACCATCATCTTTTTTTTTATAAGTTTATTTATTTATTTTGAGAGACAGAGACAGCGCCAGTGGGGTAGGTGCAGAGAGAGGGAGAGAGAGAATCCCAAGAAGGCTCCACACTATCAGTGGTAGAGCCCAATATGGGGCTTGAACTCAAGAAACGTAAGATCATGACCTGAGCCAAAACCAAGAGTCAGACACTCAACCGACTGAGCCACCCAGGAGCCCCAAAGAAAACCATCATCTTAAAGCGGAGGGCAAAAGAAGAGAAAGAAACAAAAGAACTACAAAACAGCCCCAAAATGATGAACAAAATGGTAATAGTACATCCATAACAATAAAACATTATTTCAAATGTGAATAGACTAAATTCATCAATCAAAAGACATAAGTGACTGAACAGACTTTAAAAAACGCACATGAGTGGGGTGCCTGGGTGGCTCAGTCGGTTGAACGTCCGACTTCAGCTCAGGTCGTGATCTCACTGTCTGTGAATTCGAGCCCCATGTTGGACTCTGTGCTGACAACTCGGAGCCTGGAGCTTGCTTCAGATTCTGTGTCTCCCTCTCTCTCTGCCCCTCTCCTGTTCACACTCTCTCTCTGTCTCTCAAAAATGAATAAATGTAGGGGCGCCTGGGTGGCTCAGTCGGTTAAGTGGCCAACTCCAGCTCAGGTCATGATCTCGCAGTCTGTGGGCTCAAGCCCTGAGTGCGGCTCTGTGCTGATAGCTCAGAGCCTGGAACCTGCTTCAGATTCTGTGTCTCCCTCTCTCTCTCTGCCCCTCCCCTGCTCAAGCTTTGCCTCTCTCACTCTCTCAAAAATAAACAAACAAAATTTTTTTAAAAAGGGTTTTATATAAAGCAGACATTGACAGACTTAAAGGGAGAAATAGACAGCAATACAGTCCGGATGGGTGGTGGTGGTGGAGACTTCAATCCCCCACTTCCAACAGTGGGTGGATTATCTAGACAGAAAATCGGTGAGGAAACCCTGGACCCAGGCTACACGTCAGACCAGGTGGACCCACAGACACATGCAGAACATTCCATCCTACGGCAGCAGGATACACATTGTGCTCACGTGTGCATGCAACATTCTGCAGGACAGATCACACGTCAGGCCACGAAGCAAATCTTAATAAATTTCAAAAGACTGAAATTATATCAAGCAATCTTTTCTGAATACAGTCACAAGAAATCACAAGAAAAAAAAAACTTGGAAAATTCAAAACTATGTGGAGATTAGACAATATGCACACATGTAACCAGCAACAGCTATCATCATACTCATCAGTGAAAATCCGAACGCTTTTCCTCTAGGATGAGGAACAAACAAGGATCCTCACTCTTGCCACTTCTGTTCAACATAGTATAGGAAGTCCTAGAAGTGTAATTAGGAAAGAAAAAGAAATAAAGGGACATGAAGGGGAGTGAGAAATACAGGCTTCCAGTTAGGGAATGAATAAAAAGGCAGCCACATTAGAAAGGGCAAACACAATTGTCACTGTTTACAGATGACATGTTATTATATATAGAAAACCTTAAGTGTCTATTAATGGCTGAATGGATAAAGAAAATGTGAGACACACATATAGAACAAAATCCTGGAATTTGCGAAAATATGGATGGACCTTGAGGGCACTATACTAAGTGAAATAAATCAGTCAGAAAAAGACAAATACCGCATGATCTCACTTGTATGGAAATCTAAAAAAGCCAAACTCATAGAAACAGAGAGTAGAGAGGTGGCTACCAGGGGCTGGGAGATGGGGAAAATTAGGAGATATTGGTAAAGCTTACAAACTCCCAGCTATGGGAGGAATAAGTTCCAGGGATCTAACGTACAGCATGTCGACCATGCTTGACAATACAGTATTATATTCATAAATCATCGGGATTTCCTAAGAGAGTACAACTTCAGTGTTCTCATCAGACCAAACAAAGAAGGAACAAAACAACAAAAAAACTTGTGAAATGACGGGTGTGCCAATTAACTCATTGGTAACTCTTCCCTAGTGTATATGTATGTATACGTATCATCACATTGTAGCCTTTAAATATTTTATAATTGTGTTTGTTAAGTATATATTAGTAAAGCCAAAAAGAAAACAAGTTAGGCAGCCAATCGCACTGGTGGGTTTTATTTAACCTTCAGGCAAACGTCAGGGCCTCTAACTTTACACAGAGAAAGTAAAGAAACCAAAATCAAGTCATTAACTTACCATTTAAAAAACATTTATTTAGGAACAACTGGGCCATGTCAACATAAGTTGATTCTTCTTCCAGAAATGCACAAACATAACCTCACACAGAAGAAAAGTTAATGTCATCTTTGTGGAATGCAGAATGGCTGAACTTCTTTGCAATAGGAGGTTTCCGCTTTCAATACACATATATGCAATTTTTGAAGAGATAAAGATCATTTTTCAGGATTCATATATCTAGTTCATATCTACAACTAGAAGGATTACTTAATACCCTCGTTAAGCTAATTTCTTCTTCTCTGGTCACTTTGCAAATAGAAATAACATGAACTGGTATTCATGCTCCGACCTTTAAGATTCTCAAATTATAATGGCAATTACCGTATACATAGCCGCTCATATGTTTATTGATGTTTGATAATTAACACAAAAGGGCTGTGACCTTGATGAATGGATGATATTAACTATTAAATAGTGTATTATAAAATTAGTACAAAGTATTTAAAGATATGTAAGTTAACCACTTATTGATAGAAAAAATCTTTTATATACTGGATAAAAGTTTATGGAATAAAGAGAAGTATTTTTAAAGTATATATTAAACATTGCTTAACTGGATAGTAAATCCTATCAGTGTGGAAATAAATGTTTTGTAATTCTCAAAGAAGAAAACAATATAAACTTTAATTCATGGTAACATAGTTGGCTGGAAAAATGCCAGTTTGACCTCGAAGCTTCCCTTCCCACCAATCAAAATGAGAATCTGTTTTTGATATAACCGTGATTCTGTCTCCAGCTTGAAAATTCAAATCCCCTGGCTGTTGTCCTTCAAAAGAATATAGTGCTGTCACTTCTATGGGTTGATTCAAATTGCCTAAAACAAACAAACAAAATTATTTAAATTATTCACATTCTTAATGGGAAACCCTGAGAAGAGTGTGTATCTAAGATATAAGTTAACTTTTTTTTAGGACTTGATGTTCTGGCAGAATTCACAGCATGTGGTCTGTATGATTTCCTTCTTTGAAAAGAGCAAATGTTTGGTAATAACATTTCCTAAATCCACACAAGTCAAACTGTATGTTATTATATAGTTAACTAAGTATTTAGCAAATATCTGTGGTTATAATTGTTTGCATTTTGAATAACCTGTAAGGTAACACTACAAGCCGACTGTGGAATAACACGGGTTTGAACTGCACAGGTGCACAGACATGTGGATTTTTTGATAAACAGCATAGCCCTGTAAATTTATTTTCCTTGCTTTCTTAATAACATTTTCTTTTATCTAGCTTAGTTTATTATAAGAATACAACATATGATACTTATAACATACAAAATATGTGTTCATCTACTACTTATGCTTTTGGTAAGGCTTCTGGCCGATGATAGGCTATTAATAGTTAAGTTTTGGGGAAGTCAAAAGTTTTATGTGGATTTTCAACTATATGGGCTTTGGTGCACCTAACCCCCGACACTCCATTTTTCAAAGGTCAACTGTATTTACATTTTTCCCCTTTTATTTATTTATTTTTTTTATTGGGGGGGGGGGCTGCTGCAGATAGGGACAGAGGGAGAGGGAGAGGAAGAAAGAGAGAGAGAATCTCAAGCAGGGTTCAATCCCACAACCCTGGGATCATGACCTGAGGCAAAATCAAGAGTCAGATACTCAAGCAAAAGAGCCACCCAGATGCCCCACATTTCCCCCCTTTTAACAGAGCAACCATTATGGCTTCCTTGAACTGTAGCTGTTAAACATCTATGCTCATGATTTGACTGGAAAACCATACTCCAGGACAGAGCTAGAGAGTATAATACTAAGCGAAATAAGTCAGAGAAAGACAAATACCATATGATCTCACTCATATGTGGAATTTAAGAAACAAAACAAATGTGCAAAGAAAGAAAAAAGAGAGAGAGAGAGGGAGGGAGAACCAAGAAATAGACTCTTAACTATACAGAACAAACTGACAGTCACCAGAGCAGACGTGGGTAGAGGGATGGGGGAAAAAAGGGGTCGAGATTAGACTTATCATGATGAAAATAAAATAAAATAAAATGTTAAAAAGAAAAATCATGCTGCGTAGCCTTGGTTTTGAGGGTTCCAACTGACATGCAAATTTTGCTGATTCAGCACATTTCCCCATAGGCTTCACGGCTGTTTTCATTTCTGTGCTTACTATATCCTTTTTCTCAAAACAGAGATAAACTCAAACTAGCACAGCAAGAAGTGTGTCTGCACACGCACAAGAGCTTCGACACAATGTGTAGAATCTTTTGTATTAGGAAAAAATACCTTGAGAATTGAGGAGTTAATATGAGGAAAAGACATTAAATATTAGAAACTGTAGAGCATCATAAGAAATAAAAAGAAACATACTTTCTGTGTAGTCATCTCCTTGGAATTTTTATATTTCTATTTCACGTATTTTGTGCACTTATTAGGCAATTAGATGCTTGTTAAGTGCATCTTAGTGCGGATACACTGAAAACATAAATAACCGAATTCTACAAGCCAGTTCCTTATTTCAACCTATACTGTTACAATAAAAAATAAACCCAATTTGGCCTGTCAGTAAGAAATAAAAGTAATCAGCACTTTAATTAAGCCACATTGACTGAAACACTGAATTTGTATCTCACGCAAGATGGGGCCACACTTCTTCCTGTAAAGCATGTGGCATGTGGTTCTTCGAGTTCTCCCAGAGAAATAACCCTAATAACAACTAATATAATTACATTACAGATATTACTGGCATTAGTTCTCTCTATAATACAGACACGTTCTGCATATTTGTAGGTTCTTACTGTATTAACTTTTCGTCTGTCCACTTTAAGGAAGAAGTTAAAAGTATGTCACAGAAGAGTAAAATGGTGATATTTTACCTGCATATTCCTAAAGCCAGTGCGTGCGGCAGCCAACACACATTGGTCATTACCGCCTACGTGACAAGTGACAAGTGACTGAGAGGCTGCATGGACGTGGGACACACAGCAAGTTCTCGTGTCAGGCCTCCTCGTCATTAGATCAGTGGAATGTAGGTTAACGTTGGAGAAAAAAATCATTCTGAAAATCAGTTTCTTATCAATAATTGTGTTTATCACCTCTATACATAAAGCTCAACCTCTATTAAGCAAACAATGAACGAAAACCCTCAAGTAATTCCTCCTTTCTCCTTGTCAGACACATCTGATAATACAAAGAAGCAAGCAAAAAGAGTGCTAGTAAACATCAGGAATGTTCTGGAAGTCATAGCCATCTTAGCAGCCATACAGGTGTGTGTTTGTAGCACTAGGTACAAAAAGTAGAAATGCACTAAAAGAGGATCACAGTGGTAACAGGCAACAGCCCTGAGTATATAATACAAGCGGCCTCCTGTTCACAGAGTCGGGCACTGTAACAGCACAAGACATGTGCCCCTCTAGGCCTCATCTCCAGCGAGGCAGCCACTTTGCAGAACATTAAACTGAGGTGGAAGGTGTTAGGCAATTTGTCCAGGGAGCTGAGATCTGAATCCCAGAAGTCTGTCCCCAGCTACTCATAAGCACCATTGACATCATACCCCAAGGTACTCAGCAGCCACAAAAGTATTAAATTGTTTTCAACAGACTGAACTTGGATTTATCAGGGCATTTTACTTTTGTTAGGCAAATTTTCAGGGAGAACTGGCATATTTTTCTGCATCACTGAGTTATCAGGACTCTCCAAATGATAAGAATGTTGGATGATGGCCCTGGGTAATCACTGATAACAGAACTGATTTTTACCAGTCTTAGGAAAATATTTCACGATGAATACTTAGAGGAAGAAAGATATTATGAACTAAATGAAAGAGAGGACGGCGGACTTAGTTCAGTCCCTGCCCTCTCACTCAGGTGTTGTCCACTTTCCTCTGGACTGCAGTTTCCAAATGAACTAAAGACAAAGTGGTGGTGGAACAGGTGTAGAAGGGCAAGGCAGGTGGTTCTGAGATGCAGCGGAGAACAAGGCAGTGCTGTGGGGTTTGAGGAGGTTGGTACATTGAGATTGCTGGCACATCTAGAGAAGAATGTGCCCCGGATAGGCAGACACGGTGTGCCCTAGGAGAGTCGGCAGTTCAAGCGGTTGCTGGGAAATTCCTCCACATGCAAACAGAGGCTGGGCCAAGATGGCGGGCGGGGGGGAGGCAGGTGCTCCCTGGAGGTGACTGTCCACAGGCCATTCAATGATGTAACCTGTTAGTTTTTTCTTCAATCAACATGACTTAAAGTTCTTCTTTACTGGTATATTAGGGATAATTTCCATGAGGAAAATTTTAATGCCCACAAAATAATTTATTTTAAAAATAGGCGGGCCTTTTCTCTGAAAGGAGGTATGTCCTTCCAGGAAGGGAGAGCCCTCTGGGGACCTTGGAAACAGACCCCACCAATTGCTAAAATGTCTGGAATTCACGGATGCATTTTCTTCTGAGTTACATGACTTCAAGTTTTATATTCCCGTGTTTAAAAAATATGGAGGCTCTTTGAAACAATTAGTCATTTTCATCATAATTCAAGTTTAATTCAAATACAGCTTATTTTTCTCTCCCAAATCAGGACTACGCTTAACAGGAAACAGATTACAATCAGCTTGAGTGATTGGCAGCTGCCCTGAGGCTCCTAATTAGCAAGACTGGGTCTACAGGACTTCACTAGTTACTCCCAGTGGCTTTCTGATGGGAGTCTGCATAATGTAACCCATATGCAGCCAATAAATACATCTGGCCCCAGACATAATTCAGGAGAGGAATCTCAGCCTTTGGAAGGTCCATTTCAAGGCAGGCAGAAGTAGGAGAACACATCTTTGGTTTTGTGACACATTTCATGTAGTGAGGAATTGCATGGCTGATTTAACTCTCACACCCACATCGCCTCAGGCCAGGTGTGGGGTCTGTCACTTTGGGGACCATGGTCTCTGGAGAAGAGTCAGAGTCAGTAGTGAGTGAGGCAGATAAGGCCACTAGGTGGGGTCACCAGACATGCAGTTCTCAAAAGGTAATGTCTGGGCATTTGTGGTTGTCACGACTCGGGGGGGGTGCTACTGGCATCCAGAGACTTAGTTCCGGGGCGCTCCTGGCCATCCACGCAGCACAGGGTGGCCCCTGCAATGGGTGTGCCCAGATTGTCACTGCAAACTACTGGACGGATAGGAGGCAGGCAATGGATACTGACGTCGAAGGACACAGCCTGTTGCAGAGACTGTGGACCTTCCCGGTTGTCTCTGTGACAGGCCCAAGCAGCACGTAGCCAGAGCCTCCAAAGGGTGCGAAACAGAAGTACGTGCAGCTTGGAAACTACTGCTATGCCCAGCAGCCCATGCAGAACTACAGCTTGTCGGTGGGCATGGGACAGGTTAAGATGGGGCCTGGGTGTCCTGGTGAATGGGCTTGAACCTCAGCTCAGGCCTGTGCATTGTGACTTTTCTCTCCAGGAATGCTCTGCCAGGATGTGAGAGGGTCCTTGGCAAGAGTTTAACTGCTTTCACAGCTGCTTTTTAAACACACAATAATGTGAAGTAAGTTTTATTTTAAAAATAGACTTTAAGCCTTCCCTTTCATTTTTTTTCTTCAAAATCTTTTATTTGGAGAAAGGACAAAATAAATTAATACTAACCTAGTGCCCACTGTTTGTACACTTTAACTCATCCTACCCTCAAATATAAAAACAAAATCCCACCAACCAACCAACCATGGGCCGGTAACGTTATCCTTGGATCACACAGCTAGTGATGAAAGTATTGAATTCAAGTCTGAGTCTCCTTCCAGAGCCCACTCAGGGTTTTGTTTGTTATAACTTGACACTTCCCTCCGTGCCTTTTGGGGGGTATTTCTAACATTCTCTAGGCACCTGGGCTATGGGCATGAGCTCTAGAGATCCCTAGGAAAGGGCTGCAGTCCCCACTGTCACCTTACTAAGCACCCCTTGCTAAGTCTACAGCGTCTGTCATCCCTTGTCTCTCAGCGTCCCTGCTGGGTCCCCTCCCCAAGCAACTCAGCTTGTCTGTTGACCTCAAATGTAAGAACCCCTTTAATTGCAGGATACCTAAGTATGGGTCTAATTCTAACAGTCTTTAAAAATAAAAGACCACAATATAAAGTCTTAGATGTTTATGCTACTTGGGCATAAACATTTATATGTTGACCCCTTTTGCTTCCGAAGGATGTGTCCAAAGGTCACATTTAACACTCTCGGTAATCTCTACCATGGCTGTAAATCACATTTTCAAGAACAAAATACATTTTTTAAAACCTGTCAGGGTTTTTTCACTATGCCTGAGACCACAGCACAGCACTCTCCCAAAGTCAAGCCCAGGCCATCCGACTGGCTCTGAGCACAGGCCTCTGCATCCACTCCCTGAAGGGAATTACCTGGGAGAGGATGGCCAGAACTGGGCTCCAAACAACTGAAACCAGGCTGGAAGAAAGAGGAAAGTCAGAAAATCTAATCTAGCAGGAAAAGGTTGACTTCTGTTCAAGGAACTCTGCTTAAGAGACATTTTTGAAATATGTTTATAATTTTTTGTTAAATGGGTACTTAGTTACCTTGCCAATCTGTTTCCACCACACAGATAATGCCCAGGTAGTTTGCTTACCCAGGAGTATATGGTTCTGTGATTCCAGTGATACAAGATGATGTGAAAAATAGGCTATTTTACAGCTGGTTAACCTCTGCCTTCACTGTGTGTCCCGTTCACATTTCTAAATAATTGCTTACTTCTTTCAAAGAACATTTTCTAAAGATTAAAGTAAGACAGGTTGAGGGACTATTTTTTATCACAGCAAATCCTAATGAGTTTTATGAAGTAGCTCCCAATAATGGCAAAATATCTGAACACGAAAAATTTTAAAAATCCTTAAAAATATAAAAATATTCATGGGGCTAAAACCCAGAGCAAATGTGATGATGACGAAGCTGTAATTCACAAACTTTGTCTTTCTTTCCTGACAAGGTTTTACAAGATCCTGTAGTTCAGCCTCCGACAAGCCCGTGGGCCCTGGAGTCAGCTCCCTCCTGAGCCAGGCGCGTCATACCAGGTGACTGTCCCTCCTGGGTTCCCCACCACGCTGCTAATCTCAGATTACAAGCAAGTAAGGGAGCAAAGCCACAGCATTTTTTAAATGAGGTACTTTTCAGAATAACGTGCATATTCTATAAGTCAAAGAAGTGATGTACGCCTTCCTAGAGATTTTTACAACCTGCCAGGTTAATTAGAAATTTTGTGATTATAAGATCAATATGAGTAATTTTTAACATGTAGATATTTTATTTACCAACTCTCTCCTGATAGCTGGAAAGTTCAGGGTACAGCTTATATTTGTTTCCATTACCTGCAAAAAAAAAAAAATTAGAAAACTTATTCACATATATTAAAAAAGATAAATAACATAAAATATTAGCATATATAAAATAGCCAAGAATGCCTAATCTTGCCCTTGCAAAGCAAATACTTTAGTATATGTGCTGCTGAAGCGAGCACAACAGAGCAAATACTTTAAATTGCTCAGTGATAGAACTCTCATTATTTTATCACCCTTTAAATCAAGAGGAGCCTTGGGGCGCCTGGGTGTCGCAGTCGGTTAAGCGTCCGACTTCAGCCAGGTCACGATCTCGCGGTCCGGGAGTTCGAGCCCCGCGTCAGGCTCTGGGCTGATGGCTCAGAGCCTGGAGCCTGTTTCCGATTCTGTGTCTCCCTCTCTCTCTGCCCCTCCCCCGTTCATGCTCTGTCTCTCTCTGTCGCAAAAATAAATAAATGTTGAAAAAAAATTTTTTTAAATAAATAAATAAATAAAAATAAATCAAGAGGAGCCTGAATAAACCCAGGAAATACACTGAGCATAGGCAGAGAGTAAATACGTGATATGCACATGATCAGAAGCACTACAACTCACGACCTTGGACATATATGTTCATGGAAAATGCACACATATCTGTTTTCCAGAGCAATCATAAAATACCTGAATTCAAAAAAGTTTGTAATCCCCAAACCAGTGATTTTAAACATTCTTGTTTGCTTGACTCCTCAAATAATTTTTAAGCAGCATGTATTCACTTGCATATTTTTAAATTAACACCTAAAATTGCTCAATATAAGCCTAAAAGTTATAAAGGGCATGCTTTGTAGCATATTTCAATATCAATTATTTAAATTAAATAATTACATCTCTCCTTTTTGGGATAACAGAATATAAATATCACAGTAAAAATACACATCATTAATACTGTATCTGTACTCACCATTGTGAGTTTAAAAAACAAAGTTTTTTAAAAATTTGATTTGAGACAGAGAGAGAGCAAGCATGAGTGGGGGAGGGGCAGAGAGAGAGGGAGAGAGAGAGTCCTAAGCAGGCTCTGTACTGTCAGCACAGAGCCCAACGTGGGGCTCGATCTCACAAAGCATGAGATCATGACCTGAGCCAAAATTAAGAAATCGGTGAAAAAAGCACCAAGCTTTTGCAGATATCAGAAATTATGTAATGCTCATTTTAACCTTTTAGTCATATTTCCATTCCCTTTGTCCCACAGATTTTAACTTTTTTTTTTTTTTAACATTTATTTACTATTGAGAGGCAAGAGAGAGACAGAGCATGAGCATGGGAGGGGCAGAGAGAGAGGGAGACACAGAATCGGAAGCAGGCTCCATGCTGTCAGCACAGAGCCTGACGCAGGGCTCGAACTCAAACTGCGAGACCATGACCTGAGCAGAAGTCGGATGCTTAACCGACTGAGACACCCAGGCACCCTGTCCCAAAGATTTTATACTAATATATTAATATTATATTTTATAGAACAGTTTCTACAACAAAAATTTGTACAGAAATTTATTTTTTAATTTTATTTGAAGTAAGCACAAGACTGTTAAATAATTTCTTACAGATCGAGTTATTATTGTAATCATTACTGGTACACAATTGACCAAAACCTTAAATATATTATAAATTTGTTAACTTACTAAACAGGAAAGTAAATTTTTATTTGAAACACAGCTCGATAGATGGATGAGACTTTAGCTCATTAAGCAGGATGACTATTTCTTATTTCTAGAATGACAGAGGTTCAACGTCAAGTTGTATTTTAATATTCCTTTTTAAATGTATAGGTGCTATGAAGGCTGGTTCTTATAAAAACTAGAGAGGGCTAGAAGGATACATTTTGCAGCAATGTAACAGAATTATTTGATGTTCCTTCTGAGAGAGAGGTCAAAAAATCACATGGTTATCTGTAATTAAAACATAATAATAAAATATTTATAAGATAATAAGATACTTTTATAACTTTCTGTTTTGGTGATAGATAGCTACGTGATTCTTAAAATAAGCAATATATAGTGATAATACTAATTACTGTTGTTACATAAGCTAACACGACAATCCCATCGTCCCTCTTCAGTTTTGTGGAAAGCAGAGAAACAAAGAACCACTGTCCAAACGACTCGACTTGCTACTCCTCAGTCACTCACTCACTACGTCAGTATCTATATTTCAGATTACATCACCATTCTTACATTTTGGAGACAATGTAGCACAGTGTGATTTGGATGACTTGGGGGTTACTTTTCTTACTCAGGTGTGGAACAAAAACCCTCAGGAAGGCCAGGGGAGGATGGCCTGTATGTCCCGTTGTGAACGGAAATGGCTTTCAGAAGGAACATGTCTCGAGCCAGACAGTGTATCTCTCACACTGTTGCTCTCATACCCTAGGCAGTGTCGGGTACCCTGAGGATACAAGTACAATATGCAGGCTGCGGCCTAAGAAGCTTATGACATAAGAATATAGAAATAAACATTGGCAGCACGGGGAAGAGGGTATAAATATTCCAAAAGAATCTAATTTTAAAAACTGACTAGAAATAAGAGATTTTGGGTAGTGATCAGATATAGGACAAAATACATGCAAATTAGGACTTTCTCAACATAAAAATAAGCACTCCAAAATAGAAATGGGAAAGTACATTCCATTCACCCAGCAAACCAAAATTATAAAGTACTTAGGAATAAATTTAACAAGAAAGCCACAGACACTATGAAATCTTAGGAATGACAGAAAAATGCCTCAGCAAATGGAAAGCATAAAATGGAAAGATTATCATAAACACGCCAAATTAGTTAATTTATATGTTATTGTGATTAATATCCCAAGTCATAGAATTACTCTAAGTTCATAGCATTATTTTTTGGAATTGCACATTGCATACTGCAGACCCCCTTATCCACAGTTTTCCTGTTTCACAATTGCCTGCGGTTAACCACGGCCCAGAAGTGGCTCATCCTCCTTCTGATTTACTGTCAGAAGGTCAGAAGAAGCCTAATGCCACCTCACAACTGTGTCAATCACCTCACTGCGTCTCATGTGGGCATCTCATCACCTCCCACCATCACAAGAAGGGGGAGAAAAGTACAAGATATTTTAAGAGACAGAGAAACCACATTCATAGGACTTTTATTATAGTGCGTCATTGTAATTTTTCTATTTTATTATTGCTAATCTCTTACTGTGCCTAATTTATAAGGTAAACTTGATCACAGGTATGTATGTATAGGAAAAAAAACATAGTTTATATGAGGTTCAGTACTATCCATGGTTGCAGGCATCCACGGGGATCATGGAACTTAGCCCTCACGGATAAGGGGGGACTAACTCTGCATGAACAACAAGGCCACCAGACAAATGATTCGTGTAGAAAAAAAAAACTGTAGCCCGAATGACAAAGTCCTCAATGTACAAAGTGCTTCTACAAATGGAAAAGGCAACAAATACTCCAATAGAAAAAAATCGACCAATGAAATGAAGAAAGTTTTCAGAAAAGATTAAAGACAAAACTCCAGCAATTATATCAAGAAACCTTTAAGTCACTAACTGACAGGGGCAATACAATCCAAATAAAAAGGAGATATAACCAACCCTAACACATGCAAATGCTCTAACACTAACAGTGGTGAGGAACATATATGATGCAGAGAGCTATAAGCAGGAGAGTGCTTATGGTGGGCAGTATGTGTATATGTAGTGGGCACTGTATATAGTGGGGAGAGTGCATGCTGGGAAGTGTACACAGTGGGGAGAGTGCATGCTGGGAAGTGTACACAGTGGGGAGTGTGCATGCTGGGAAGTGTACACAGTGGGGAGTGTGCATGCTGGGAAGTGTACACAGTGGGGAGTGTGCATGCTGGGAAGTGTACACAGTGGGGAGTGTGCATGCTGGGAAGTGTACACAGTGGGGAGTGTGCATGCTGGGAAGTGTATACAGTGGGGAGTGTGCATGCTGGGAAGTGTATACAGTGGGCAATGGCTGATGAGACTCTGTAGTAGTAAAAACTTAAAAAACAATCTACCTAATCTGTTGAAATTTAAAAAATATGTCCTTTGACTTACTATATCCATTCCTGGTAATTATCTCCAAAAATAAATAAAGAAATAAATGAAAGTACCAATATGTAGACACACAAATTTACAAAGATGTAAAATTGGAGATGGTTGGCATGGGAAAAAAACTGAAATAATGTTAATACCTATCAGTAGGAGAGCAGCTGAATAAATAAGTTTTTTGCCCCATGGAATATTAAAAGGCCATTAAAAAGAATTAATTGGAGCTGCACCAGTTGATTCAGATGTTTCCATGAGGTGTTTTTCAGCAAAATAAATAAAACCCACAAGCAAGATAGAGTAAAACATGTATAATATGGCAGCATTTTTACGAGACAAAATATTCTTTCCATGTGTATATATGTTCTTATACGTGTGCCTGTGAGTAGGACTATCAAAGAAAGATACATGTGGAGAGAAACACAGACGTCTACACCGCGTGTTGTCAACATGGATTTCCTGAAATGAGTACGGGAGAGGGCACCATGTGAGTTAGGAGGGGAAATGACGGAAAGGCAGCAGCTCATAAAAGAAAAAGAAAAGAATGCATCAGAAACCATCTATTATGCATTTATATAAAATTATATATGTGAAGATATGTAATTAAGAATTAAGATCCTGTTTTTTAATAAAAAACTTATTTTTATAGGTCAGATTTAATTTTATTAAAAAAAATATTTATTTGTTTTTGAGTGAGAGACAGCATGAGCGGGGGAGGGGCAGAGAGAAGGAGAGAGAATCCCAAGCAGGCTCCACGCTGTCAGTGCAGAGCCTGATGCAGGGCTTGAAGTCACCAATTGTGAGATCATGACCTGAGCCACAACCAAGAGTCAGATGTTTAACTGACTGAGCCACCCAGGTAGGTGCCCTGAGATTTAATTTTTTTAATGTTTAGTTATTTATTTTTGAGAGAGAGAGAGAGCAACAGAGAACAGGGGAGGGGCAGAGACAGAGGAGACAGACAGAATCCCAAGCAGGCTCCACGCTGTCAGTGCAGAGCCTGATGCAGGGCTTGCACCCAAGAACTGCAAGATCGTGACCTGGGCAGAAATCAAGTCAGAGGCTTAACTGACGGAGCCACCTAGGTGCCCTCATAAGATTTTTACACATGCATCTTACAGACATGTATTTTCCTAGTGAGGAGACTTCAGAAACATCATGTATTTTAAGACATAACTACAGAGGTCAAATTTTATGTAATCACTCAGCTTTAAAATAAAAATAGACTCCAGTGCCCACATCTTGTTACTCACTGGAAATATGAGTGTACGCAAATTAATCACCTGAACATGAATCAGAAATAGACCATCCCTATTGAAAGAATACGGCATCCCAGGAGACAAAGGAACAGCCAGGTCACACAGTAAGAGTGGGTAATAAAGGACAGGTTTGGTTCCTGAGTGTCTTCCAGGGAGGGGACATGTAGGCAAGCTAACGGCACAGCCAGGAGCCAGCATGAGGGCGGAGACTGCCTGTGGGTCCGCAGGTGAAGGGGCGGTGGATACAGAGCCTGAAGGAGGGGCCATCCTCCTGCCCTCTAGAGCCTTTGACACTTCTACTCCTCCTCCCAGACCTTATCACATGCTTCCTTCTGGTGATGGCAGTTACTTCTCCCCATGGGACACCTCCCGTACTAGACTGAAAGTTCTTCAAGGACAGGATGTAAGGTAGCTTCATCTTTGTACTCGCAAAAGCCACTGCACAATGCTCTTGAATAATAGTGGATCACTATATGAAACATCACCTCCTTTACCATATTGCTAGGTACTGTTACCCTCTGTGCCCATAGAGCAGAATTCCAAGAGTGATTGTCATACAAACGATGAATGGAAAGAGGGATGGAGGCCAGAGCCTGGTGCTTTAAACATTTCGTCTAGTTTAAAACCAGCCTTATGAAATCCTGAGCTCCTGAGAATATATGGCTTAGATCAATATTCAGAATATAAATCTATGAGTATACAAGAAAAATGGCTTATTTTGTTCCTATTTCAAATCAGCAGGATAGCAGTCTTTGGAAGAAATGACAAAATAAATGAGAAAAATTTTAAAGATAAATCTTTGTAAATTAGAGAAAGCCTCTTCTGAATGAGAAGAAGCTTTCACAAGTTACAGTCATGAGAATACCTTTGTATTTAGAGGAGTCTGAGCATTTGTTTTTCTCTTCAACACATTTTAGTTCTATTTGATACTAAAGTTTAACAATTGTTAATTATAATTATATTTGAATTACGACAAAAATATTTACTTTGGGAGCCAGAGTTCAGCGGGACTTGTGCAGATGACTGCTGTGGTCTTGACAATGGTTTCGGAGGTAATTCTTTAGCCTGGGAGGGACAAAAAAAATGCACATGATTTTAAAATACTTTATTACCATGGAGCATGCGAGGCTTTTTTCTTCTGGAGAATGTATGTGGCCTATTTTACCCCATGCACTTATTAACAAAGCACCCTACGTGAGCACAGGTAGTGTGCTTCGGGCCACACTCAGTTGAAACGGACGCCACATGCAGGGGTTGACAGTAGGTGCCCTTCTGTACCTCGCCTCATCCAGGCACCGCTGACAACCTACGCGGGCACAGCCACCTGGTGACTGGCTCGGCAGCCCCTGGGAGGCCGTGACAACGTAGGCTTGCTGTGGCGGCTTTCATGCCCTGTGATGGGGATCAAACGACTCCGAAGGGTCTCGTGGAACTTGGTGCGCACGATCGATGCTCGGAGGCCTGAGACCTGTGTGTCAGCAGCTACCGTTAGCACGGCTACTGGTACAAAGTCCTCTCCTCAGAGATGCAAGTATGGAAAACAACCTATGTTTCTCCTCGAGGTTTGTACAGATGACACATCAGAGGTGTATGACATTTTCACAAGGACTTTACGCAAATGAGAGTATAAGGGAAGTGGAGTCGGTTATCAGGAACCTGATATCAAGGGCAGAATATGCTATTTCCTGCGACTGCTAAGAGACACACAAAAAAACCACGCATTACAGCAGGCTTCCTCTGTTGCTTTGCTGCTTTTCTTGCGTTGATTCGCTGTCCTTCATTTTCATACTTTTCAGTAAAGGAATCGAGAATCTCATAGAGATCTTCCGCTTGAGCAGGCCGCGGCATGTCTCCAAATAAAATGTCATAAGCTCGGATGTCTTGACAATAAAACCTAATAAGGAATATCAAATTAAGAACATTTATAGACATAGAGCTTTCCTAGAGCTAAAAGTAGGACACATACCTGTGTGTAGGGATATACTCACATCTAATACTTCATATATACTATTTTTCCAACACTAACTACAAGCTATAACCCGTTAAGCCCCTAAGTTCACTCCCCCAAGATCATCTGTAGAGCCAATCACCATAAATAGTCTGATACACATACTCTTTCTCCAATAATATAAAAATCAAATCACATATACAAACACATCTATATAAACACATGTATGCAAATACATCTACGCTTATGCAAATATACCTACAAGCATATACATTTTTACAGGCTTTTATTTTTTAAGTTTCTTACAAAAATGGGGCCAACAAATACGGCTTTGTAATTTCTTTAAAACTGTTTATTTGCATCAAAACTATATAAAGATTTGCCTTACATGTTTGGAAGCCCTGCAATTAATTAAGAAGTATGTTTGTTTAGTTTATCCAGATTTACGTGAACTTTAGTGAGAAAGTCTTCTGAAGGCCTGAAATCAGAAGTTTCTAAAAGAATGCTTCAAAAACGAGAAGTAGAAACATCTCTCTTGACTTTATAAGACACAGAGCTCTGCAAATCTTTATTTTTCCCCACTCCTCCTATTTTCCAGTTTCTGTGGCTTACACTGAATATTGTCACATGTGCTTATTAACTCTTTAAAAATTTTTTTTTAATGTTTATTTCTTGAGAGACAGAGAGAGACAGAGTGCAAGTGGGGAAGGGACAGAGAGAGAGAGGGAGACACAGAATCCAAAGCAGACTCCAGGCTCTGAGCTGTCAGCACAGCCCAGCGCGGAGCTCAAACCCACGGACCACGAGATCATGACCTGGGCCAAAGTTGGCTGTTCAACTGAGCCAGCCAGGTGCCCCAGTGTGCTAGCAAACTCTTGAGTGAGCAGTAAATTTTGTGCAGATTTTCCCTGGAAAGCAGGCAGATGAGGTTGGGGGGCAGGGGTTCCTCTGCTGTAACCAGACAGCACTGTCGGCTCCTGCCAAGCTCCCAGCTAGTGGGATCTCTGCCTGCCACGTTCTGAAGGAAGTTTCTCTTGTCAGTCAACCTTTTATCTTCCTCTGAGAAGCCAGACACGTTTTAGTGGCGATGTAGAGAAGCAGTTTGGGGAAAACTTAGCCAGATGCCAGTTTAAAGTACAAGTTCTTCTCCACCCGTCAAAATACTTCTAAATCCGTTTTTTAAAAATCAAAATTGATCTCCATCTTATGGAAAAACGACAAAGGCAGAGAGTCATAATAGACAGCCTCTCATAATGATGGATATTTTGACTGACCTACAAGTTGTAACTTAGGTACTTTTACAGATGTTTGAAAAATATACTGAATATGATACAGCCAACTAATACAATATTATGTAGCCATTAACTTACACTTATGATTCTTGCAATGCTGGATGGAAAAAAGGATTTGCAATTCTATCTATTATGATTACAATCATATGTGGCAAAACAAGGGAAGTTATGCTTAGGAAAACATTGTCGGGCAATAAAGCAAACTGAGCAGTGTTAATCTCAAAGGGGTAGAATGGCATTTTTTTCCTTCCTTATCATTTTTTGTGTGTGTTTTCTAGATTTTGTCTAAGTACATATTGCTTTATATTGAATCTTTAAATAAAGAAATAGTTAGAGTCAAATGCTGCGTATTCTTAAAATATGTTCTTAAAAAAAGAATATACGAAGTTATTCTGTAAACTCCAAAGAACTATGTGAATCTATGACGTACTATTTTTCTCATCACCCTTTCCTCAAATTAAAATTATTTGGCTTGCACTTACTTTCGATTAGTTTCTTTCCTTTCAATCAAACAACTGCCTTCCAGAGATACGCCAGCAAAGAGTCCTCTAGATTTGCAGTACGTGAAGACGGCAGCGGAGCTCCGTAGGGCAACATTTCCTTCCAAATTCCTGTGAAATACAAGGTTTTGCAGGAGAGAACCAGACTGGCAAGAGGACCGATCCTAAAGACGATTATCTGAACAGCACTGCACTTCTCCCTCCAAAGAGTGACATCATTCTAATCTCAGGCCACTTGTTTTCATGCATTACTTCCTATTGGCCTGAGCTAGATGTGTTTAGAGTGGTCTAGAGCAAGGACAGGGCAGGGGAAGGACTTGTTACTTAAAACCATTAAAAAATGATGTGATATACAGAGGACCGCCTTGTACCCAATTCATGGAAAGCTGATAATTACCAACCTTGTCTTCCTTTCTTAAAACAGCAACGTACATTTCAAGAGTCCTAAAGACTGTGGGTTCTTTTTACACTGACTATTTTCATGGAATTTAGAAACGTTTTCAGAGGATTGTACTGTGTTAGCTTTTGTAAACAGTCTGAGCTTTCAGAATTTCTAAATTGCTCAGTTGACCCCAGAATAGTTGTTTGTTAACCGAGAGGGAAAATGCAGCATATATACTGTAAACATCAAGCCAGTGAGACACTTTCATTTTAAGTTTTCACTAGTTTGAAGACAAGTTTTGTTTTCTTTCTTGATCAATACTGTCTTTTATCAGTTAATTCAATTTGACCTGGCTCCTTCAAAGCTGAAAGGTACATTTTATGTTCAATTCCAGTAGATACGATGGCCTTCATTTCTGAAATATTTAGTTTCCTTTTGTGTGTTCTAGTTTTAAATTTTCTCATTTTATCACACTGCCTATGTTTTCTATTTCTTCTAAAGAGGCTCAAACCCTCTGGGACATATGTAAATCATGAATCAGTTTCATTTCAATTCAAAGTTCCTCCTAATGCAAAACTGTATAGTTTTTAAGCCATTACCCTCCAACAGCTGTTCAGAAACTATGTCGTAGTACTCACCTTCCCAGGGGCCCAACTGCCACAGTAAAATTCCCTCCAAGTGTCAGGTTACCACCTTTTGCAAAAGCTTCTACTGCTCTGTCATAATTCAAAATTATTACCAAATCTGATACCTGAAAATAAAAAAAGCCCATTCATTTAAGAATAATTGTCTAAATATCATTTAAAATACATGTTGATTAGAACTCAAATATACACCATATAATGCAGCGAGAATTTCAATGTAGACAATGAAAGAATATGAAGGAAGGGTCATTGTTGTTTTGAGCTGAGGATTCACACAAGGGACATTTGCACAGGTCAGTGTGGCAGACACCCCCGACCATGTGCTGTGGGGCTCCATACAAACCTCCCCGGTCCACCCGACAAGCTGGTAATGCGGGTGACGACAAAGGTCTAGTAAGGTTAAGAGGACTGTCACAGTGATAGCCAGAACACATCAAACATAGGTAGATCAGAAAGATCGAAAGTACTCTTTTAAACTAAACACATCAAGAAAGCCAAGCAAAGACCACACAGCTAACAGTGAGGGCAGAAGGTCAAGGGTTCTCAATGACGTTTGCACCCTGAAATCCCTGGCAAGGCCACGTGCCTACCACCAGTAAACTGCACGTCCACTTTCTTTTTGGCCTCAGAATTCGAAATGCCAGAAGGAAACTAGTTAACCATTAGTTAGTGCCTCCTACTAAGTTAGTTCTCTAAGGGCAAAAATTAGAACGTGAGATGGCTCAAGACATGCCAACAAGGACGGCATTTGGTTTTCAAGTTTGCCGGAGCTGTATGCAAGCCCCATGAGAGCCCAGAAATACAGAGAGCCCTCAGGGGACACAGCCCTTGGGGGACACAGCCTTCCAGGGACAAAGCCCTCTGGGAGAACAGCCCCCTGGGGGACACAGCCCTCTGGGGACACAGCCCTGGGGGGACACAGCCCTGGGGGGGGACACAGCCCTCTAGGAACATAGCTCTGGGGGGGGGGCACAGCCCTCAGGGGACACAGCTCTCTGGGGACACAGCCTTCAGGGGACAAAGCCCTCTGGGACACAGCCCTCAGCCTCAACATTCAAACCGAGTGTTGACATTCTGCATGCCAAGACACCTTCCACCCCTTACACCACTGGGCCCTTCTCTGCACATTGACTTTAGTGGGCTCAGAAGTTGAGCCTAGCCTCTAACAGTAATTTTTCCTTAGCTTACACCTGGACACCCTCCTCATTATTAAAGTAAAAGAGCTCATCCAAACTCTCTCTGGAAAAGCTAAATCATTTCTCTCAAATCACACTATTGGGTGAAAGCAAGACTGATCAGAGTTGGCCCATGGTGAACTCTGGCCTTTGCTATAACAAACAGTTGAGTGATCCATATATGGGTGTTTTCAGAGCTTTGGACTTTGTTACGACTGTCCTGAAAAGAAAATGCTAATAGTCTTTAAACCAAGTCTTTGCATTATCTTTCCTTAGACCATTGACTTTCAGATCGTTTTTGTTTTTAATGAATTGTGTGTGAATTATAAAACATTGGAAATTCTCTGTAGTTTACATAATTGAATCAGTACTATAATCTTAGTGTTAACTAATGTCTGAGCTAAGGAAGGCCACCAGATCCTGTCAGAAGATGACCTAGTCCCTAACTTCATATACCTTCAGAACCTTAACCTGGTCTGGATTCCAAAACAGAGCATAAATCTAAAGTTCCTGCAGATCACATTCATATTTCACATGTCCTAAAGATGTTATCGCCTACAGGAGGCAGCATGATGGGCTGAGAGATCACAGAGTGTCCTGGATGCAAGAGATCTGCTTTGGCTCCCCCTGCTGTGGTTGGTGCTGTTGGCTCCCTCAGCCCTGTACCAGAGGCACACCACCTGCTGCCCGCGGACGGAGAGAGTGGTGGTGCCCAGACGCCACCCCGCTTGCCTCGAGGCTTAACAAGGCTGTTATGTGATTTGCCTTCTCCTGTTGTCAGACCAGGTTGAGTTTACCTGGGACCATCCCTTGCTCCAACTCTACTCTTTCTCTGTCCTGCTTCCTTAGTCTCTTACGGTTTCAGCCCTGAGAACATTTGCTCAAGAAATCACATGTACCCTAAGCCCTGTCTCAGGCTCTATATCTAGTGAACCCAACCAAGGACAACCATACCCTTGCTGTGTGATCTTAGGCAAGATGCTTAATGTCTCCGTATATTGAATATACTCACGTGTGCCCTGCCTACCTGGCCTAAAATCCATGGGAAATTATGTAGACGGAAGTCATAGTCAGGAACAGACAGGGTACTACAAGTGACGAGACCCAGGGCTGACTTCTCACCTGATTATCCATGGAACCAAGAACACATAGTCCTTCTACCTATGGACAGAGGCTTGAACACCAGGACCGCTAAGGAACGCGGCACCCAATGCCACAAACAACCTGCTGAGTGGTTTCAGGGCCAGAACCCTCCATTTGAATGGCCTGTCTGTCACTGTCTGGCTACCTCCTACTGGGGAACTCACATCACCCAGTTCTTTCATGTGCGAAATGAGAGCAGTGATAACCGTTCTCCATGGCTATGGGATGGAACTGATTCTATAAGAATATATGCAAAAGTTTTACAAAAATGTTAACTGCTATTGTTCATCCATTCTAAAACGGAATGGCAGATAATTACATTATTCAACAAATATTTACTAGCATAAATTGATTATGTGAGTGCTCTCTGTGTCCTTGAAAGCTTAAGATAAAGACATTGAGACTCACTCTGGGTTTCTACTTTGTGCTCGATACTTGGCCAGTCTGAGGACTAGGCATGAAGAGAGAACATCTATGCCCTCAAGGTACTCACAATCTACATTAAGGTCCAGATAAGAAAACCAACAGGCTAACACCTGTGTGGAATATTCTGTCAAGTTGGGAACCTGCTGCTGGAAAGAAGAATGCCAGTAGAGGAACCTGAATGAGCCCTAGGTGGTTGGGGACTAATTTCTCTCCGTAACTGAGGGTGTCTATCTGGCTCGCCATTGGCCACAGGTCTGCTGCCTTTTTACTGGAAGCCAGGGCCGCTGCTGACAAGAACGGTCCTGCTTCACAAGAGCTGCTGTATCAAGGGAACCTCTGCTTCCTCGCTCACTCGAAGTGGGCCGGAGAGCTCTGTGAGAGCAGCAGCAGAAAACTCGTGCTCATGATAAAGTCTGAGAATGCTCTGTGGAGAAGCACAAGACTTCTTGCCAACGTTGAAAAAGAACAGACTGCTTGCGCATTATGATTACCCTCTGGGACATATCTGTGGGCCTCAGGGAGGCAAAGTCAGGTTGTGTTTAAGAAGTATAAAGCCAGTCTTTCTAACCCCTAGGCAATTCCTCTAATCTCTACTTGAAATAGGCATTTTAAAAAGCTAATGATTTTCCTCCATGTATGCTAGTTAAATGAAAGTCCAGGGTTAATTTCTTCTATATGCCATGAGGGTAAGATCAAAAGTTTCTATAAATCACAAGCACAAGTAAGTATTGCAGAGGTAAAGAGGACATTCACAATAAAAATTATAATAGTTTATGCCACTCTAAATGCACTCACTTAATAAGCCAAGAGGGAAGGCTACTGTTGCCTCTATCTTACAAGTGAAAAATCGCAGATCCCGGGAGAAGAGGGCCGCTCAGTGCACAGGGCTGCAGGTGCTCCCGGGTCTGGTACAGTCTCTGCTCTTACAGCCCAACCACTACCCCACACTGCCTTTGGAAGATAATCGAGTATATCTCTATAAAATGTTGACTTTGAATCTTTCTATTTCACATATTAATGATAGGATTACACGTTACTACACTTGTTTTCAAGGCTGTTAACATGCCCAAACCCGGATATTCCAAGGAGCCATCACGGGGAGTCCCATTTTCACATTTTCAGTTTTTCATATGCTAAACTTCCTGCAGTCACCCTTACTTCATCTCTCGTCAGCTTGGAAACAAATGCTGTTTGAGGCCCAGAGCACCACCCAGCTTCCAGTGGAGGGAGAGGGGTGACGAGGTGGGGGGGGGCACTCACACCACCAGTTGAGCATCATCCATGCAGAGAGCACCGCCTGTCAGCAAGGAGGTGCAGGCAGGGATGAAAATGTACTGCCCACACAGGGCGATGCTTTGTATGGCTTTGGTCTGGTTGAATATCCAACAAAAAGGCAGTTACGATAGGGAAAGCTAAAATATATATCTCTTTTTATAATACAGATTAATGGAACAGGGAGTAAAGAAGGTCACATAAAGGTGAGATAAGAGTGGTGGAAAGGCCAGTGTCTAATGAGGCCAAGGGAATTTAAAACTGTGGCCACAGAGAAAATGCATAAAAAGATGGCTTAGGACAAAACTGACCAGAACTTGAGAAGAAAGTGATTTGAGACTATTAGGAGATTCGATCTGCCCATGACTTAGCAATACCGCCATGGATGAAAGATTAGCATCATGCAGAAGGTAATCTCTAAGTAACAGACCTCTGCAAACAGGGGTGCTCAGGGCCTGCCTGAGAGGCCATGGTCGTCAGGAACCAAGTCACAACATGAAACCATGCAAAGGCAGTCTTTACTCCAAGCATCTGAAACAACCTGAAGATATAACACAACTGGATTTTGCCACCCATGAAGATACACTGTATTAAGCCCGGTAAGCCCAGGATCTAAGCTCTGGCCTATTCGACAACCCGCTGCAGAGGCTAGCAGCTTCGCAATGAGCAAGTCACAAGTGGCCAAGTACAGTTCATCCGCTTTGAGACATTCCTGCTCCCCAGACATGCTAGAGATGGACCCAGCAAAATGCCACTCTCGATGAAAGATACCGGTAGACATTAGAATGTTAGCAGTGGGGATTCATCCAGAAAGGGAAACACATGGAATAAAATATATTCCATCGATGGTGAAATGAGAACAGTAGATACTCTCTCAAGCTTCACGTAGTAAGTTGCAGTTGTGTTTTCACACACTTACCTCAATTCCTATTTCAAAGCCTCCACCAAGCCCAGCTATGCCGATGGCTGACGGTGCAGACCACTCTAACAAACACAAAGAAGCAAACGTTACTCTAACATTAAAACTGCTTGGCACACACATATGGGAAGGAAAATGCTAAAATGTGAACAGATAGCATTTCTTTTAAAATAATGAGACTTTGGTATTTCCCCCTGTGTTTTCAAATGTTCTTTAATAGGCCTATATAATTTTAAGTTAAAAATATTTGAAAGGTATTAGATATTGAGTCCCACAGACTCACAAATTCATGCCCCCTGATCCTTCTCTACAAACGTGCATAACACAAAACTACTGAATCCTCACCTACTAAACATATCTAATTTTAACTCTCAACATTTGTATAACGTTTTACAAAATAATTGAGCTGTAATTCTAGTTTTTAGTTAGAGTTCTATCGTAGATATAACAGAGCGAAAGGATTCAAAAAAGTTTATTATAATCACTTCTAAGGGTGACACAATAATAAACCATTTCTATTGTAAATCTCTGAGGGCAAAAACTGGTCTTTTTTTGCGTAGTAGCACAAGAAATAGGGTATCTGTTCAAGATTATTAAGATTTTAACAAGATAAATTTCCTTACATTTTAAAACTTAGTACAATAATTCCATTTGAATTAGGGAGAAAATTAATCTGATGGGGGGAGGGTGGGAGGGTCTAGATAAAGTCCTTTCTGCAGATGCTTATTAGTTTCCTAACCTAATTTGTGTTCTAGGTAACAGGATATTGCTTGAATATATTTAGAACTAATCTACCCAGGCTTAGGGGAGTTTGTATTACAGAAATTAGTGTCATATAACCCCAAAGTTGTTTTCCATTTCCTATGTTAGGAGCTGTCGCTGTTTGAAGACTGCCCATCTGGCCAGGATCTGGGGAATTTGCTGCTTCTCTTTTGTTTTTGTTTTGTTTTTTAATGTTATTTATTTTTGAGAGAGAGGGAGAGAGAGCATGAGAAGGGGAGGGGCATAGAGAGGGAGACACAGAATCGGAAGCAGGCTCCAGGCTCCGAGCTGACAGCACAGAGCCTGACATGGGGTTCGAACTCAAGAGCTGTGAGATCATGACCTGAGCTGAAGTCAGACACTCAGCTGACTGAGCCACCCAGGTGCCCCAGGGAATCTGCTATTTCATTTGGGCAGCTTTTAAATTACGCTCTGTGAGAAGCGCCTGGGTGGCTCAGTCGGTTGGTTAAGCGTCCGACTTCGGCTCAGGTCATGATCTCGTGGTTCGTGAGTTCAAGCCCCGCATCGGGCTCTGTGCTGACAGCTCAGAGCCTGGAGCCTGTTTCCGATTCTGTGTCTCCCTCTCTCTCTCTCTCTCTCTCTGACCATCCCCCGTTCATTCTCTGTCTCAAAAATAAACGTTAAAAAAAAAAAATTAAATTACCCTCTGTGGGCTGAGCATCTGGACTCAAAAGTGAGAAATACAGGGGAAATAAGAACAGCAGAAAAGCCCAGTAGAAAAGTCCTCCTGAGATTCTGAGACCCCAGAGGTTGACAGATCTCCACCTTCACAGAGAGCTACCTGTCACCACTGTGGAAACATCTCACAGACTTTGAGCCCACAGAAGGGAAGTGCCTTTGAATGTGCTTCTACTTGGGCTGGTTGTACTGCTGGGAAGTCTGCCCGTTAAAACGTGGGTAGTGCTTGAGAAGAGAACTTGGTTGTTTCTGATTCTTAGCCAAGGGCTGAACAAAGAAGGATGAAGAAACCTACCACGCTCCTGTGAGTTGTGTTCAAAGCGAAAACAATCAACTTACTTCCATCGGGAAGACGCGCCAGCACGACCCCACTGCCTCCTCTAGCAGTTACTAGAAATCCAGCCTTTATCACAGACAATATCGCAAGGCCCTTGGCTTTAGCAATTACATGGGCTGCAAAATTAAAGATAACGAGCAGGTGAGCATTTTTAATGGACTTTCCTGGATAGACGTTCAGGGGTTGAGCAGATTCAGTACACACAGCAGTCTCCTTGGCAGGACCCAGGGCTCTCAGTATGAGCCTTAGTGGGACATATGAGCTGAAAAAAACTCGGTTACGCAGCACGTGCACCTGGGCCTCCCTGTCCCACCTCCTTCCTTGTAGGTTTCCAATGCTACACCTAACGTCACAAGCGCTCAAACATCCTGCAACCGCTGTGATAAATGAGATATACAAATGAGATTTTTCAGTGACATCTACCAGCAGGACAAATAATTTGGAGATTTCAATTAATTGAGAACATAACTCATAATATAAAGATCCATACTGTACTAAGTACTAAGGAGAAACTTGCTGCAAGCTGTGGAACTTTGATCTGAAATCCATACAGTTAGTTCACCTTTTACTAATATGAAAATCTGGATTCAAACACAGAAAAACCAAGTGATTTTGCCACTTTAAAAGACTTTTAACTTTGTAAAATGATCTATTTGAGTATTTGAGTAACACATAACTACTAGTGTACTGAGAATATAACTCAATTTAGAAACCACTGGTTTATTCACATTTCAGGGAAGTTCATCACATAAAACGAGTTATTAATATATGTGCCTAGTAAACACTGTGCCTCCCTTTTCTGTGGATTTATTCACAAAACAAAAATTCTGTGGATTTATTCCCTTCAAATAACAAGGGAAGCCTCAACATTTGAAATTACCCTTGGACCCCAATGTCCCTGTTTTTTTTTTAACAGAGCAATGTTGGTTTCAGGAGGAGAATTTAGTTATTCATCAGTTACATACAACACCCAGTGCTCCTCCCAGGCATCCAGTGCCTCCTTTTTGTATTTCAAAACGTTATAAGTATATTGTAATGCGGTTGAAAGCTGTATTGTATATCACATAGGTTTATTTTTACAACCCCACTTTGGTAGAACATCTTCGTCCACACCTCGACTCCACTCTCAATGTGTGTATGGTCAGGATTGCCTCTATTTAGATACAGCAAAAGTAGATGAACATATTTTAAGTATCAGGTTTGTTTTTATAGATTTTCTACCCAAATTCAGGAACACTAAAATACCAGTAATGCCTAACTGATTTGCCAAGTAGCTTTTCATGGATGGCAGAGATGCACTGAGTACAGATTCACCCTCTAAATGTCCTTGTACGGATCTCAGGCCCCTCACACCCGAGTGTGACCTCGTACCGCTAAGGTCTACAGTCTAGATGTTTTGTTTTAAATTGTTTTTTGTAGATTTTATCCTCCACTATATAATAGATCACCCTAGTGTTAATTTAAACATAATGCCCCCACCCCCCATCCTAGGGAAGGCTCTAGGAAAGGAGAGGCTTGGCTCTCTGGCAGCCCCTGGGGCCCTCTCCTCCCCACCACACACAGCCTGCACACCTGGGAGTCAGCTCTTACCCAGGCTGCCACGTAAACTGGTCTTCACTTTCCCAGCTACACTCACTGACAGGGAGTCAGGTGGTCTTTGCAGGCAGAAGAAAGTCATGATGGAATTTTACTGCACAAAACCCATGAGAGGTAATCCATACTCAGATGTTTCTGTGTTAGGAAATCCAGTTTTTCCATAAATCGGGCTAACGGGCCACATACGCAGATGCTGATATATATCAAGAAATGTCTTCTATCTCCTGCTTCAGAATACTGCTACTGAAAATTCAGTTTTTCTGATTGAATTTTCTTCAAGTCCTAAAGTAGTCCTTCTCAAACCTGTGTGTACATATAGATCACTGGAGATCTTGTAAAAAATGCAGATTCTGACTCACTAGGTCTAAGTGGGGCCTTGAGGTCCTGCGGTTCTAACGCGCCCCCAGGTGATGCCCAGCGGCACTTTGAGTAGCCAGGCTCTAAGAAGCACTGTTTTCCTATGATGGAAGTGGTGGCTGGGCCAAAATAACAATAATAATAATAATAATAATAATAATAATAATAATAATATAACAAATTTAAAAGTTTTTAATATTTAAAGTTCTGCTAAATAACTTTAAACATCCGACTTAAGAAGTTAAAGTAGTTAAAAAAATCAAGTAGTCTTTGTCATGCTGGATCAGAGTCGTGGTGGTTAAGAGGGAAATTAGTCTGCAGCACTGCCCAAGGTAGTCGGCATGTGAACCTTCTTTGCCTCGTGGCAAAGACGAGTAGTCCACGAAACACCCTGTAGAGATAAGTGCTAGTGGCAATGGGCAGGTAGTGGCTCCCAAAAGGTCATCTCTAGACTCAGGTCTTATGTGGTCAGCCTCGCACTAGAATCACATGGGAAGCATTGTTAAAAATGCGCATTCCTGCCACACTGCTCCCAGGGTCTGATTCAGCAGGTTTGCAGGAACTTTAAGCACTGTATTTTAATGAGCCAAGGAATATGATATGTAGCTGTGTTGGGAATTATTGATTAATGTCTTGTTAAACCACTATAAAATGTAAATATCTTATCTAGAAAGAGAAAACCCAAAATTAAAATTTATTTATGAGATTAGCTAGTGAGTTTGCAAGATAAACTTACAAGGCCTCAGAAACTGAGGACAAGAACAGGTGAGTTGGGAGAAAAACCAAAGTGGACACCATGAAGGGGAGGCAGGAGAGGCCGCCTCCACAAAGGCAGAAGGCAAAGGGAGGTGTGGGGGTCCCCCAGAGAAGGAGGGAAACACTACTCTGTGGGCTTGCTGCTCTTAGGGGGTCCACTGCCTGGCGTCAGGAAGTGCACCAAGTAACTTAAACAACAAAACAACTTTAGAAATGAATGGTATATATTTTATTTACCAGGAATGATCTTATCAGGTCCATTTCTGGAAGTTATTTCTGTGAATTCTCTTAGAATTTTAGCCGCCTTTTTTGCTTCCGATTTCAGATTGGAAGGTATGGGATTATTCACTGAAAGATTAAAAAAAGAGATTTTAATGAAAAAATCTAGTACATACAAGTTAGAAAATTATTATAATTTCATTTTTTCTCATGCACAATTGAGCATTAATAAATTGTATCCTTCCAGACAAATAAAATGAATTGGAAATCCTGAAATTATTGTCTCATCTCTATTTTCCTGATAAATTAAATTCATTCTGAGATTGGGAAACCCTAAACTCTCAAAATCCCAGAAATTATAAAATCATGGGATTCTAAAGGATCTTAAACAAAATATGGTCCAATCTCTCAATTATACACCTTCTCTGTGTAATTCTTAATTTACCCCAATGGTAATTTAAAAATATTAAAATTTAAAGAATCAACAAAAGATGTTAATTTATAACTGTGCATAATAAAAAATATATAATTTATTGCAACTGTCCAAAATAAAAAATATGAACTTTACTGTATCTGGATACTTTTGTCAAAAATGTTGAACTGTCTGTATAGATTGTCCTTATTAGTAAAATCCTAAGAGACTCAGGAACTGAGTGGTTACTCCAATGTGTTTGTACAGCATTCTACCTGTCAGGCTTTCCTGGGTGTTCATAAACTCATGCAAGCAAGCATGTACTTGTTCCAACAAGTGTGCAGATAATCCTCCCAGACCTGAAGTATGTGGGGATAGACCATCTCTTTATCACAGGGAAAGGAATCAGAAGAGCCAAAGAAGCCAAGAGGCTTCAATGTAAAGTCTGCTATTCAGGCCATCGGATGGAATTTTCATTTCAGAGATTGTTTTCAGCTCTGAAAGTTCCATTTGGTTGTTTTTATTCTTTCCATTTCTGTTCTCATTATGTTTATGTTGTTCTTTAAATACTTGAGCATATTTTAAAAGGTGCTTTTTTTATCCTTATCTGATAATTGCATCATCTCTGGCCTTTCCAGATCTGTTTTTGACAGATTTTTCTCTTGCTATGGGTTAGATTTTCCTGTTTTCTATTTCTGGTAAAATTTGATGGTTGCTAGATATTGTGAATATCACCACATTGAATGTCTGGATTTTGTTGTCTTCCTTAAACAGAGTTGATGCCCTTAGCAGCAGGCTATGCAGGGACTGACCTGCATATCAATCTTTCCAAGGCCTGCTTCTGTGTTTTGCTTCGGTGCGTGTACAGTCATTTTGATGTGAGCCCTCCAAGTGTGGTGTGATTCTTTGGGCTCGCTCCCCAGTGTGCTCAGGGCTTAATGAGCAGACGGTGGGAACTGTTATCCCACAACCTTCGCTGAACTGAAAACAGTTCACCTCACAGCTTCCTGGTAGCTGTTCTTGGCGCCATCTTGAAAGTTTTACGCGTAAACGTAGGGTTTGGGACTCGCCAAGGGTTCATGGGTCCTCCAGCAGATCTCTCGGGCCTACTCCCCTCCGTGAGGCTGCCTTGCCAGTTCAGATGCATGGCTTCCCCAAACTCCGTTGTCTCCTCCATTCAGCAAGAGAACAGAAAGTGCAGGAAAAGGGGCAATCGCGGGGTTCCCCTCCTCTCTGAGATCTCGGGCACACTCACCCATCACTCAATATGTGAAAGCAGACATTCGGTGTGTTTGCCTAATTTCTAGGGTTTACGGTCAGTGGCAGTGCCAGCACCACTCTCTCTGGCATGAAGCTCTCAGTGTACTTTAATTTGTTCTTTTGTGATGAGTGATGTTACACATCTTTCCATTTCCATCAAGTCTTCTCCATAGTGTCCTGTTGGGGGGTATTTCTCTGTTTCTTATTCATTTATAAAGTAAAGGAATTAACCTTTTTCTGGAACATGAGTTACAAATATTGATTCGCTGTTTGGCACTTGTCTTTGGAATTTTCTTATGTTTTTCTACTTTTTGTCTTAATGAAATCAAATTCATCTTCTAAGTTTTACAAGTATCTTTAATTAAATGAAATGCTCGATTTCATATGGAAAAAATAAGCAAGAAAGTATAGGGAAAGTATTTCTTTTTAATTTTTTTTCAACGTTTATTTATTTTTTGGGGGACAGAGAGAGACAGAGCATGAACGGGGGAGGGGCAGAGAGAGAGGGAGACACAGAATCGGAAACAGGCTCCAGGCTCTGAGCCATCAGCCCAGAGCCTGACGCGGGGCTCAAACTCCCGGACCGCGAGATTGTGACCTGGCTGAAGTCGGACGCTTAACCAACTGCGCCACCCAGGCGCCCCTATAGGGAAAGTATTTAAAAGAAGAATAATGAGAGGACGAGCTCTGCCAAAGCCACAACATATCATAAAGCATTGGGGCGCCTGGGTGGCTCAGTCGGTTGGGCGTCCGACTTTGGCTCAGGTCATGATCTCACAGTTCGTGAGTTCAATCCCCACATTGGGCTCTGTGCGGACAGCTCAGAGCCTGGAACCTGCTTCGGATTCTGTGTCTCCCTCTCTCTCTCTGTCCCTCCCCCACTCGCACTCTGCGTCTCTCTCTCAAAAATAAACAAACGTTAAAAATAAATTAAAAATAAAATAAAATAAAGTGTCAATAATTTACTTGATAGTAGATGCAAATATAGGCAGAAAAACCAATTTTACAAAATAGAAAATTCAGAAATTGACCCAAATATATAAAATACCTTGATGTATAATAAAGATAACATCTTAAATCAATGCAGAAAAGCTGTGTTACACAATAAATAGTGATCTTTTGCCGGGCGGTGGGGGGGGGGGAGCAATGAAAATTCATCCACAGCTTCATGCTACATGGGGATAAACTCCAAATTCATCAACAGTTTGAAATGCCAGAAATCAAACCATAACAGAACCAGAAATTATGGGAGAATTACTTTTCAAATTCATAGTACAAAAGGCCCAACCAAGTATGACAAAAAACTTCTATATTTTTATATGATCAGAAATTATGGCATAAACACATTGTAAACATAATGGAAAAAGTATACATATGCCAATGTTGGGGGGAAAGCCACCCCTGCTGTTAATATCCCCCAATACTACTGTCTGCATTTCAGTGTATGCTTCAATTGATTCCTATTGCCAAATATGTAGATTATTTCCATTTTTAGCTTTTAGAGATACCACTGTTGGATGACCGTTATCTTAGGGTAGAATCTTAGGGGTTGGGAATCGACGAATAAAAACAACCCATAATTTGTTAGCTTATATTACTTTATAAATTGCCTCTGAAAAATACCACCCAGGTTTAGATCACTGGGTATTACCATAAAAAACGTCCACTGTCATGGGGGACACTGGTAGAGGCAAAGGCCATACGTCAGAAAAACAGGGTGACAAATTTCATTTGAGTTTATCTGAATGCCAGTGAATTTTTCTTTAGTTTGTTTGCATGTCCTGTTTTGCACATTTTCTGTCCATATTCTTTGCCTGTTTTTCTGGCATCATATTCTTTAGTCTATAATTGTGCTCACGCCGCAAATCTGTATCTCTGCTTGCTTTTTAAAACAATTATTATTTTTCAGCATTTGTTTTTATTTCTATGGGAACATGTCTCTGGGCTTTCTACTGTTATCATCTTTTTAACTATTATTGTGACTAAATGCTTTAATTTAAAAAAAAGAACTATACAGGCACAGCTTATATTTTATACAATTATTCATTTATTGATTTTATTTTTTAAGTGTTTTTTTAATTTATTTTGAGACAGAGGGGGTGCAGAGAGAAAGGGAGAGAGAATCCCAAGCAGGCTTCATGCTGTCAGTGCAGAGACCAATGCAGGGCTCAATCTCACAAACCACAAGAGCATGACCTAAGCCACAGTCAGATGCTTAACCAACTGAGCCACCCAGGCACCCCAACATTTGGCCCTTTAAAGTACATGTTATGGAGGTGGTTCCATAAGCCATGACTTCAGGCGACACAATAATGACATACGATTGTTTTTTGATATTTATTCCACAGTGATCAAGAAAATACATATATGGTAAAGGGCATTTCCAACTTTCCAAATTTCCAGTACAGTATTGATGCAATTGATAGCTTTTAAAAGCCATGATTGGTGAGCATATACTGAGATAGGAGTGACTTCATTTCCATTTTGGTTGCTAAGGAGAAGGTATGTGAGTCAGCAAACAGGAGTAGAACTACGAAATTGACTAATACAACTTCCTCTGTTCATAAGGTACATGCATTGACTGTAATTTGCATTATAACTAGACGAAGTATTTGAGCTCCTAATTTCTGCTGGTTTCTAAGATGAGGCCTCACAACCTTACTCTTCATGGGTTGAATGAATTGCATACAGAGGGTTTGGCTTTATTGGTTTTGTGTCTGGACAGCTAGTTGCCCACACACATGTGTGCTTCCTGTGTTACAGGGAGCACTGTCCCCGAGAGGCAGGTGCCCAGAGAAGGTGACGTGTGTCACTTCTATGCCACGACAGCTGAGACGTATTGCTTTCTCCACCCTCTCTTTCCCATCACTGGCTGGCTGAAGAGGACTTTGATGGCACAGCCACAGGGGGGAAGGATGGGTCCCCTGGGTCCCCTGGGTCACCAGCTGGGTCACCGCCTGGGGAAAGCTGTCCGCCACCTGGAACATCCACACTAGACTATTACGTGCTGGAGAAGTGGCTCTTACTGTGTTAGGTAATTGAGATATGGAGGCTTTTTATTGCAGCTAATATTACCCAATTATTACATTTTAAAAATTAATTCTAAATTTTGAAGAAGAAAGATGGGGGAGAAGTATTTGTAATTTTCATTTTCTAACTTAGGACTAGATTTGACTTGTTTTATATACGTATATTCTAATCACTTAGGTAGTTCGGAGAGGTGGAAACATGGGTAAAAATGCTATCAAATACGATACTATATGTTAACGTTCTTACTTCTTTGATTAAATAGTATTTATAATACACTATTTGCAAGTCCTTCTAAAAAAAGCAAAGCAGTGTTTTGCTTTTTCATGAAATGTTAAAACCTTTCAAAAGATGCCTCTTCTCGGGGCACCTGAGTGGCTCAGTCGCTTAGGGCGTCCAACTCTTGACCAGCTCAGGTCATGCTCTCATG